TGCTGGCCGGATGAGGAAGCTCAAGGTCGCTCAGCGAGTTATGGAGAGGGCTCGGAGTTTCTCTGCGTAATAAACTTAGAAATTAGGATATCTGCAGTAGAACCAGAGTGATCGACATAGCCCAACGGATTAGTAAGCTGAAGTGGCAATGGGCCGGCCATATAGCTCGAAGAACCGACAACCGATGGGGAAAAAAGGTTCTCGAGTGGTGGCCTCGTACCGCCGGACGAAGTGTAGGGCGTCCCCCCACTATATGGAGTGACGACCTGGTAAGATATGCAGGAAGTCGATGGATGCAGGTGGCTCAGGACCGTGCTTTGTGGCATTCCTTGGGGGAGGCCTATGTTCAGCAGTGGACTTGTGAAGGACTGTAATGATGATGATGAATAACTTAAAATCAATATATAATAATTTGAATTCAATGCAAGCGTTTTTGTTCCTTTTATGAAATCTTTACTCTTCATAGGGGCCCCCCAACGAATTTTGATACAGGGCCCATCTAAGGCACGCTACGCCACTGGTGTGGAGGTAACGCTTACACGCTTTAATTCCTCCCTCTCTTTTCCACCATCGGACAACCAGTCGGTTGGCGGGTCTTCAGCCCTTTGTTGTCGATATTCCACGCATTAGAACCAAACGGTTTGCTTCGTCTTTTGTAATGCGTACAGCAAAGGAGTGGAATAATTTGCCGGCGTCTATCTTTCCGTCCGAATACAATCTAGGCGTCTTCAAGGCAAGAGTGAATATGCTTTTGTTATGCTAAGATAGTGCGATTTATCATCTAAAGCTGCATTACCACTTATTACCAGGTGGATTGTGGTCAAGCACTGGCTTATAATAATTTAAAAAAAAAACGTATTAAAACAAATTAAAATAAATAAAAAAAGAAACAAGAGAAACTACATTTATAAAATTTCGAAGTCTACTCAACGTAAAAAGATATCACTGTAGATTTTACCGTGCTAATCAATATTCAATAGGATGAATGATATGAAACAAAGTTAGTCAACATTATGGCAAAAAATTAAAAATATACCACGAAATTTATTACATTATTTTATCAAAACTAACTTTATTTTAATTTATAAATATAAAGAGTAAAAGTAAATAATGCATTTCGAATTGCAAGAATATTTACCATCTATAAGGATACATCGGAGAGACACCCAAATAAAAAAAATGATTAACCTATAATTTACATGATTATATATATATATATATATATAGTTAGTTTTGATACTTAATATTATATAAATAAAAATAATCGAAAAAACGTATTTATATTATATTAACCATCACAGTTTCATAAATTATTATTCATCTATCGTGATCATGGCAGAGACATGCTGCAGATTTATTTATAGTATAGTTGTAGCACGAATGAGTCGGCTCGACCGGGGAACGACCACGCTCTCACAGAATGCCAGCGTAAAATAGCAACTTAACACTGCTGTGTCACGGTGAGTGTAGAGAACCGGAGATCATTTTCACTGCAAAAGAGGCATTTTATTTTAGTCCTCACGAGTGACAACGCATCTGCATTTTGATTCTTTATTGAGGATAGATGTCGATGTCTATGGGTCGCAGCAACCACTTACCAACATGTGGACTGTGTGCTCGTTTGTCACCCTATCCTATAAAAAAATGGGTGATGACAGCAAAATATACTAATTACTAGCATACTTTTATAAAATATGCTTTACGATGGAAAAGAAATTTTAGCAATAATCAATAATAGGTTAAAATGGTACAATGCTTGCCCGTCGATATTTCTTTGAGTTACGTTGCTTTTTCTAAATTTATCTCCGCTCTGCTACAAATTCGCTCCACAATTGCGGGGAGTAAGGGAACGTTTTTGATCGCAATGTCGATCTTACAATTATTTATTATTTTTGCTATAGAAAAAGGGGGACAAACTGGCATACAGTGCACCGGACGGTAAGTGGCTGCTGTGACCTATAGACATCTCCATCTATCTTTAATTAAGTCAAAATGCATATGCATCCTCATTCCTGAAAACAAGATGGAATGCCTCATTTTCATTAAAAAGAATGTATTATGTTAGAATACTTTAAAGCTTTTCAATTTATGTGGAATTTAAAAGGCGACAAAATAGCCTATCATTTCATCATTTCTCTTTTAAATAACAAAGAAGCAATTTTGTCGAAATTTCACATAGTTTGATGAAACACCGGGGGCAGCGAAATTGCGGTCTAATTAAAATTAAACTTCGCATTTCACATTATCCGAAAACTGTTACTAGGTTTGTGAATATGTACAAATATTATAACTCGATTAAGAATTATATTGTTATTTTACTTGTTACTTTTTATATGAATGTGTTTGTAGTACATTAGTGTTCACGAAGTTTTCTGATTTCTTTATGTAAGTATGACAAACCAGCACGTAGTTAGCCTAACGGGTAGACGTTGAATTACCAATTTTGTTCACGTATTTTGTGAGAGCCAGGTCCTCCTCTGGTCGAGTCGATATATCGATAACAGACTTGTATTTGTGAAAATATTATGAACAAACCAGTATTATTGCTGTTGTGATCTTATTTTTCCAGTATCGGAAAAACTATGTAAAAAATGTTATTAAAATATACAAAGTTCTTTATTGTGAGCGAATATACTATACAACAGACCAATTAATTGTTACTTTGCCTCTAACTGGTCAGTACAAAGCACTAAATTACACATGCTCCGCGATCGAGGTAGAGAACCTTTATCTCGAGCATTTAGGAGATATCAAATGATAATTAATTAACGTAGTACTTACTTCTGCACGCACACACATGAACTAACAGTTTAATATGCAATTACGCGTACGTATAACGTAACAAGCCGTAATTCTATTTCACCCCTTCAGGGGTAGAATTTTCCAAAATCCTTTTAAAAGTCATCAGTCAAAGTGTCTTTTTTTTTTAAAAACAATCGGGCTTATAGTATTGGAGATCTAGTGTTGAGTGAGTGAGTGAGTTATATATGTCGGAGCGTCTATAAAATATCACTTGAATCGAGGTGGAAATGAGGGTATATCGAGAAACCCCCGCTTGTTTGTGCAGTATAAAGTTCACTGTAGGTGCCGTGCGGCAGGGATTCCGCTTAAGTCATTCAACGAGTGTTGTCATTCTACTAGTGATAAGATAGTGTCGTTTGGTGTTGCTGAGAGGCTGCCCTGTGTTACATTAAGATAATTAGTGTTGCTGTTGGTTTACATATTTTAGTGTTATCATGTAATTACGTACCTCACGTTACACTGGTGTGTGATTGTGGCGGAGAAGTGTTACAGTGTGGTCGAACTGTAATTTCACTATACTGAATGTATAGTGCGTTACGTTCTTTTAACTGATAATGATTGATTGCGTAAGCAAGAGAGCAAGTTGCTCTCACACTTTTATTATTTTTAAAAATTAACGCTATCCTGATGTATTTCCTATCAAAATTGCTATTCTCTGTTGAAATCTCCGACATATATATTGGTCATTAATGTAAAGATTTTAGTGCGCTAATTCTTCTTCTTAATCAGACCGCAAAAGTTCACAGCTAGACATGAACCTCTCCATTTATCTATGCGTTGGAGGGAGGCTTTGCCTTAATGACTAGCACCAGTACCACCCATATGATTGTAAGCTGTTATATATAAAAAAAAGTCCCGCTGTGTTTCTTGCTGGTTATTCCCAAGACAGAGGTTTTTTCCGTACCGATTGTAACTTAAATAAAAGAGTGAGTTTCAATAGGTATTATTTATAATCTTTATTGAAAAAACAATTCTGTTTCACCCGCCTTGTACCTTTGACGTTGCTTCCCGTCACCGATTCAGTCATTTTACGTGTGGGGTAAACACGACCATTCACTGTGAGCCATAAGATGCCTCTGGTATTTCCTATACTATTCTCGTTTTTAATTATCTGAAATCTAAACATCCCATCCTAACCAGTCGAAGCCGGGACGGGTCGCTACTTCGGAATAAATCTTAAAAAAGGAAGTAACTTTAGTTTACAAAATATATGAATTTGTCATGTCACTCTTTTTTAATTAGTTTCTTTCTTAAATATATTAACGAATTGTATTATTATTAATATACTGAAAGAGTTTAAATGGAAATTATACATAATTCAAAATAAATATCATTCAATATATTTCAAAAATTTAACTTTTTAACAATTTCGCATGAACAACGCATGATCGCAATTGGAAAGATTACATTTTTATTTCAGTGCCTTTCTTGTTTAAATGTAATAGCTGATGATGTCTGTCTTATCTCAAATTTCAAATTATCCCTTGAGGAAAAGAACGTTTATTCGATATTTGATAGCTCTGAGGTCAATATAAACATTTCTTTGTTTAAAGTCATATACATACTTGTTGATTACAATACTGCTATGTTTCAAACATCATCAGCATCGAGATTACAATGGCTACCAAGCCATATTCGACTACTGTTACACTTTCGAATATTAACGGACGAAGTGCCGTGTTAACTCAGAAGCTAAGCACTCATCGTAAATTTCTAAGCACATGAGCAAACGGGGGACGATATTCGTCAGCACCAATGAAATTTTTAATTGCAATTGCAATTTTTATAGTTAATTGGATAGGTGCTTAGTGATCAACTTAGAAGTATACGATCTTCGCCAGCGCCAATGAAATTGTTAATTGCAATTGCAATTTTTAAGAGTTTAATGGATAACTTGGTGTCGTTGTTAATTTCGGCAACCTGCAGTTCGCGAGCCACATGCGACTCTTTGGATGTGAAGCTGCGGCTCTTTAGTTTCATACGCAAATATTATTTATCTTATTAAAAACAACATTTAAAAATCGATCCACACTGAGCCATTTGGAGTTGATACTGGATCTCTAGAAATGCAATTGGTCGATTTAAAAAATAAAAGTTACTGGAGTTGAAAGTTTACAGAGTTGAAAAGCAAGTTGAAAGAGTTAGAGGTCCAAAAATGTATGTACGTAACGCTACAAAAATGAACAGCTTTAAAAGAAATGCCGCGAGTTGAGGCACCTATATTCGACGTATGGAATAGTCTTCCAGATTGCTACAGTGAGGTGAAGAAGCTGGCATTTGGAGTGCTGACTATCTTCGGATCGACATATTCGTGCGAGCAAGCGTTCTCCTGCATGAATATAATTAAAAGTAAAGTAAGAAGCCAACTAACAAATGAAAATTCAGAGTCGTGTTTGAAACTTAAAACAACAAGTTACGAGCCAAATTTATCCAAACTTTCTAAAACCACGCAAAGCCAACGCTCCTATTGAATTTGATTAAATGTATGTTATTGTTTTTTTTATTTTTAAGATAAAGTTACATTGTTTAGTAAAGTTTAAATTATCTACTTGAATAACCATACAAAGCCAAAGCTCCCATTGAATTTGTTTGCTCAATTGTTTGTTATTGAAGTACAAGTTAGTGTTGTAAGACTTACAATGTAAATAAATGTTTAATTGTTTTTACTTAAATAATAGGATAAGGTCTTAAGATGAACATGGACAAAACAAAGATCATGTTTAATGACCATGTCACACCTATGCCGGTAGTTGCTGGGAGCACTAAGCTCGAAGTTGTTGACGAGTATGTTTACCTGGGACAAATAGTCCGACTAGGTAAGTCCAACTTCGACCGAGGGGTCAATCGACGGATTCAACTTGGTTGGGCAGCGTTCGGGAAATTACGGCACATCTTCTCGTCAGGTATACCTCAAAACTTGAAAACAAGACTGTACAAACAGTGCGTGTTGCCAGTGATGACCTATGGTACTGAGACGTGTTCCTTCACTGCTGGCCGGATGAGGAAGCTCAAGGTCGCTCAGCGAACTATGGAGAGGGCTATGCTCGGAGTTTCTCTGCGTGATAAACTTAGAAATGAGGATATCCGCAGTAGAACCAGAGTGACCGACATAGCCCAACGAATTAGTAAGCTGAAGTGGCAATGGCCATATAGCTCGAAGAACCGACAACCGTTGGGGAAAAGAGGTTCTCGAGTGGCGGCGTCGTACCGGCGGACGAAGTGTAGGGCGTCCCTAAACTAGATGGAGTGACGACCTGGTAAAATATGCAGGAATTCGATGGATGCAGGTGGCTCAGGAAGTGCTTTGTGGCATTCCTTGGGGGAGGCCTGTGTTCTGCAGTGGACTTGTGAAGGGCTGTAATGATGATGATGAAATAATAAGTGATTATCTAATAATATCATATAAGTATAGTATTTAATACCATATAAGTGTAAGACTTACAATGTTAATAAACGTTTAATTGTTTTTACTTAAATAATAATTAGATAATAATAGAAATTGGATTCTAATTTATTGTGAAAAACACTATTTATATATGAATAAATATATATTTTTTTATGAATAAATAGATTAGTTTTTTATCAAAAAAAAAAAACTTTATTTATGCATGTACTATTTATGCTTGGCAAAAAAGTTTGTGGCTCTTTAAAAACTTTGAAATTTTGTAAATTGTAGTTTTCGACTTCCGACTCAAAAGGTTGCCGAACCCTGGGATAGGTGCTTAGTGGTGAACATAGGAATATACGATCTTCGTCAGCACCAATGAAATTGTTAATTGCAATTGCAATTTTTATTGTTACTCGTAATTGGATACGTGGTTAGAAAAATAAATAAACACTATATCTAAGGTGGTAAAGGAAATCGTCGCGTGGAAAAATCAGTCCGGTGAAATAAAAATTTCAGCGACACGTTTATTCCGATAACACCACATCTTGCTTGTATGCGTAATAATATATGCCATTTGCATATAATTCATCTATGTTAATGTATACATATAAACAAAATTGGAGTGTCTATCTGTAATATCGAAATAACTGCCTTATATTGAGCTGAGCCGGTTATTTGCACGCCATTATGACATGATAACATGATATCTTTTTCGTTTTCCAAGAAGGGAGACCGACCCAAGCATCAACCATCCCCTAGATATTAACGTAATATATTCGTAATACTGACACGCTGCGTGGCCGCAGCCATAATATGTAGTTTTTGCTGAATGTGAAGAAGCTAGTTGGCAACGTTGCGTATCGAAGTAAATAGCGTTATTATATCGCCATATTAATTACGACATTAACTATATCGTTATATTAATAACGTTATATGTTTAATATTGTTATTATAATATAGTTGTAGCTTTCGTTCCGTTTGTTAGTATCGTTATAGCCAAGAAATTAATTTTGCTACGATCCTAGAGGCACGGTACGAATTATCGTTACTGGAACTACGCGTATTATTATAGTATATATTATTTTGAGTAACGTTTAAAGTCCTTGCTCCAAAAGTACGAGCTGCGGCGCTCTTGGACGTCACTTGGCGCCGCGTCGCCGTAGGTAGAGAAAGAATCGTTGCACTCAATAGCTCTATAAATCCTCGCTTACGAGTCTATTTCGATAAAGCTGTAAAGGCCATAGGGCCAATAGCATACACTTTTAGAAAAAAAAATCTACGAGTAACAGTACTAGTACCTTAGGGCTAATTAATGCCAATTTTCTAAAATTTTATTTTATTTCTCTGAAATACCTAAAGAAGTGATTGAAGGAACGAGTTGTATCAATGTAATGTTATGCAGCTTTCCTCTCATTTTATGAAGGTTTATAGAACGATAGCCACGCTGCGTACTGTATATATACCTATTTGTGTATTATAAAAATATATTTAATTATTAATGTAATTTATATCAATATCAGATAAAACCGTAGTCTATGTAGTGGCTTCCCCAGTCTCCACATTAATATAATCTAAACATTTTGTAGGGTAGACAACTTTACCTTGCAATAACAAAACACATTAATTTCCCTTTGCCAGTTGGCAAATTATTCAACGCTAAATGTAAATCGACAGAACACGGGCGCACAATATACGTCTTTAATTAAAATGTGCAACATTTGGTACGGTGCATAGTGAAACTACAATAACTAATGAATTCGTATAGAGTTAAAAAGCAACAGAGTAATCACATTTCTGTACATTTTTTATAGAATTAGGGTGACAAACGAGCACACAGTCCACCTGATGGTAAGAAGTTGCTGTGGCCCATAAACATCTACATCAATCCTCGATTACGACTCAAAATGCAGATGCGTTGTCACCTGTGAGGACTAAAATGGAATGCCTCGTTTCCACTAAAAATGGGTCTCCGGTTCTCTACCATGCGAAACACAGCAGCATTAAGCTGCTATTTTACGCTGGTATTCTGTGAGAGCGTGGTCCTTCCCCGGTCGAGCCCATTTCCCATTCGTGCTACATCTATACTATTAATATAGCTGCAGCATGGCTCTACCACGTAAAAACATAACATTATATCTTTAATCATTACAATCCGACAAGTGCAATGTTGAACATAGACTACCCTCATGATTGCCTCACAGAGGAGATATTTGCCATAGTTACCACGCTTGGCAGGCGGGTTAGCAACCGCAGCCATTTTATTATTAATGAAATAAGGTTGTAATGTAAAGTGTAAATGTTGCTGCCCATCTCCTGTTTTAGTTTCCCTCTATACCTTCTTAAAACACGGATGATTTGGGATAGTGGATTATCTTAACAATATCTAACTAAATTTGAAAATAACGATCCATAGAATTGTCATAGCACAGGAATTGATTACCTGGTCCTATTTTGTATTAAGTATATAAACATATTGCGGGGAGATCTGTTTATGCCTTAGCCTTGGTATATGGTCTGACGCAACTGGTTACTTCGCCTACGCGAATTCCACATGTACAGGATCATACACCTTCCCTTTCATTGACTGATCTGGAGTGTAGTGTCACTCATGCTCCCCTCGCGGTTGCGTTCTGCAGCATGTTTGGCATTACAGGTCGGCGTATTGGGACGGAATGCGGTCTTTTTTGCATCCTACCCATGGGGGCGGGTTTACTTCTCGCCGGATGGTCCCAGCGCTGTTGCTGATTCTATCACTGATGTGGTGCTACAGGGAATAGAATACCCATCGGAGGCGGATCTCAGCCTTGGTTTGGTCACTCCTGTATTACTGAATTACGCAGTAAGCAGGAGTGTTATCAGGCCTGGGCTGAGGCTTTGCTGGCTCGGGATGTAAACACCAGCATGCCTAAAAAGAAGTATAACTTTGCCTCCAGGTCCTTCAAAAGAGTTATTGCCAAGGCAAAGTGTGAGCACATTGACATAATTGGCGAGAAATTATTTCGCCTCCTTTCGGGAACCATCTCTGCACAAGGAGAATGACTCACTGGCCCACGCCGCAAAAGAGAAAGCCGGCCTTTTAGACTCCCTTTTTGCGTCCAACTGGACTCTCGATGACAGGGGGAACAGACCGACGACCATCCCGCAGTCTGAGTGCTCTATGCCTGATGTGCGATTCACACAGTGCTCAGTATGCAAAGCACTCCTCTCCTTGGACTTCCACAAGTCGAGTGGGCCTGACGGAATCCCTCCAATTGTGCTGAGGACGTGCGATCCAAAGTTGGCACCGTTTCATTCAAAGCATCTTTTCCGGTACTCCTACTCCCTAGGCGTTGTCCCGAGTTCGTGAAAGACAGCTTTCGTGCACCCGATCCCTAAAAAAGGTAACCGCTCTGATCCGTCCAACTACAGGCCTGTCGCCATCACCTCCTTGTTCTCGAAAATAATCCATTATTAACTGCCAGCTCATGTGGTACCTTGAAGAGCACCAGCTGATTAGTGACCGCCAGTACAGTTTCCATCGGGGTCGCTCAGCTGGTGATCTTCTTGTTTACCTAACACATAGATGGGCGCAGGCGATCGATTCCAAGGAGGAGGAATTGGCCGTTAGTTTGGACATAGCGAAGGCCGTTAATCGAGTCTGGCACAAGCGCTTCTTTCGAAGCTTCCTTCCTATGAGATTCCCGAGAAATTGTGCTATTGGATCACCATTTTCTGGCTAATCGGGGCATCTAGGTCGTAGTAGACGGTGCATGCTCCAATTACAAGCCTATTAACGCTTAAGGGAGATGAAGCTATATTCTTCAACAGATTTGACAGCATACAGGCAACTGAACAGACAGATTTCCAAGTGCATGCGGCGGGACTTGCGCAACTTCAATACAGCTCGTATTGAAGAAGCGATCGAGCGGAACCAAGGCTCCAAAGTCTTTGCCAGAGATCTGTCTGCCAGAAAGAGCCAACTGTCAAAACTTAAGACCGAATGTGGCAGCATCGTTTCCGGGGCACCTGAGATTTTGAGTAAGATTGAGAGGTTCTATGGGCAGCTGTACACGTCATCGTTGGAGCCGCACGCAAGTTTTTTTT